TGTGGAATTTGGTGTAAAATGGGCTTGATTTAAATAATTACAATTGCCCCCCCCCCCTCTTGCACTTTAGATGATACATTTGACATCGGTATCTAAAATGTGTGAAGTAATAATGAGGGCATCATTATGAGAAAAAGTCAAACCGTCGACATCCGACTCATCAAAGATGATACTTTCTTCGAGTCCGTCGTACCGTCACGGGTGATAGACCGCTTGAGCTTGTGAGTGGTACTGAACATCACACCGTTGATAGAGGCGTCGTCGTCGATGATCATGTTGATAGTACAAGCTGGTGATGGCGGCTTTGGCGGGCCTTGGTGTTCACATCCTCTAGCGAAGTTGTTTCTCCCCTTGTCTCCTAACAGCTCTTTGAGGTATCGCTTCCACAACATGTTTACGACTTCTTGTCTGACAGAGTCATCCTTACTCTGTTGAATCGGGCGAGGAAATCCCTTATTCCCTCTCCTAAGGACTACTTGATAGCGAATATGTCATTTACTCTTGCCTCGGCCTTCTTGGCTCCGGCATGGGCAATTATGAACTTATCGGCCATTTTATCGAAAGTTTCTATTGAGCGGGCTGGTAGCTGTGAATACCATGTTAACGCCCCTCCCGTAAGGATTTCGCCAAACTTCTTCAGCAAAATAGAGGACATTTGTTCCTTGGCGAGGTCGTTGCCTTTCACGGCGGTGACGTAATGGGTCACACGATCCTTAGGATCGTTCGTTCCGTTGTATATCCTTAGGTAGGGCAGTATTCTGAAGGTCTTTGGTATGGCATGCGGGGCTGCGTTGCTGTTGTGCGGCTGCTCTACGAACCTGCCGGCGTCCCTTTTTGGCAACAGCTTAGGAGCGCCCGGTATCTTGTCGACTCGTTCTTGGTGTTCTTTAATGTGGTATCAGAGTGATTTGTTTTCATTCTCCATTTCTTCCATCATCTTTAGAACAACAGCGAGGGCGTTGTCACCTGCACTATTAGTAATATTATGAGTTATACCTGTCATCGGAAGGTTTGGTCGGTTGCACTACTCGTCTGTTTGTTGTATCATGCAAGCTCTTGCGGTTTCTGTAGTCATGCTTGGAGCAGGCTTGTTGAGGACGCTCACTAGCGTGTTGGTCAGCCATGCTTCAAGGAGTTTTTTCACAACTAGGGGCGTCCTTTCTTCTGCGGATGTGGATGCCCCTTTTTCATTGGGTTTTTTTTATGCGGCAGTGGAGGGGAGGCGGCCTCTCGCGCCTAGGGAAGCCTTGGGCATCACGTCCTCGCCTACTATTTCGCATCTCTCGTTGATAGCGTTCATGAGGTTGCTAGGGAAATCACTTGTTATTTTTGTCCTTTCTCCTTGGTTACCTGCCATGTAGGTGTTTGTATGTACAAAGAAAGGAGATCTCGGGGTTTGTGAGGTTAGTGGCCAGCATTAGTTGTGGATCTAGAGGAAACTAAAAAATTTAACTAAGAAATCCTCACAGACGGCGCCAATTTTTTTAACCAAAAAATATAGATCTTGGTTCAACTAATTAAACTTATACAAATGTGGGTTAATCTTAGTTAACAATAATATCCCAAAGATGAAATTCTCAGAAGTGCAATAAATAATATGTAAATATACTTCAATAGCAACGGCAACACACGATCAATATTTAAGAAGTCAAAGGGTGTAATATAACATTAAATAGTGATGAATAGCAATAAATGACACTTATGTAAATAGAACGAATGAATCACCCAAAAAAGGATGAAATTAGTGAATGTTCTTTCTGACAATGATGAGTGATGATAAG